GACCTCTAGCTGCAGGGAGTTGGCTGTGGCTTTGACCTGGAGGCGGCCATGGTGTGGGAGCAGGGGCCCCAGGCTGGTGGCCAGGAGGTGCTCCCCGTGGAACAGGGCCAGTTGGGCCACGGGGCGACTGTCCACAGTGCAGATGAACACAGCTACGTGGCCCTGGCCCACATCCAGGAGGGCTGACAGCTTTGGAGGTTCTGGGGGATCTACAGGCAGGAAGGAGATCAGGACACCCCCAGTACAGCTGCCCCTGTAAACCCTGCCCCCCCCCACCACAGGCCAGACCTGCCCCTGCCCAAGCCCTGTTCTGACCCCTCCCCCAACCCGACCCTAGCCCTGTTCCCTCCCACTGAGCACTCCCTCACCCCTGAGTACCCAAGTCTGCCCTCGCCCGTCACCCACAGAGCACACTCAGGACCACCGGGGTGGAGAGCTGGGCCCCGGCCTCGCCAAGAATGCGGCAGGCATAGAGGGCAGCATCTGTTCTGGCCACAGGCAGCAGCGTCACGGTCTCCAGGGGGCCCTGGGTCCACAACGCCCCATTCCGGAACCAGGAGAAGTTGGCAGGGCCGCTGGCCTCCCGGCTCACATTGCAGGTCAGGTTGGCTGGGGTGCCCTCCCGCAGCGTGGGCGACGGCGTGATGACCACGACGGTGGCTGGAAAACAGACGGCACAGGCCAGCTGAGACAGGCCTTGCCTTGACTGCTTGCCCCGAGGGGTCGGAGTCCGGCCTGCCGGCCTGGAGAAGGCAGGAACCAGAGCCCCTGGGCTGCCCATGGGGGAGGGGAGAAAAGCCAGCTCCCACTGCTGAATGGAGCTGCTTTCAGCCCACAGACCCTCTTTGGGGAGCCAGGGATTGCAGGGTCCCTGGTACCAGCCCCTGACCCTGAGCCACCCATTCCCTGCCATGACTCACCTTGGGCATCAAAGGTTGCAGAGGCAGAGGCGTTGCCCAGGGCGTTGCTGGCCTCACACAGGTACACACCCTCATCCTCCAACACTGGGTCCCGAATCTCCACACGCAGCAGGTTGGGGGCTCTGGTGACCTTTAGGCGCCAAGAACAGCCCCCACAGCCCAACGGCAGGGGGGAAGAGGCCACAACGTGGTCCCTGTGGAGCAGTCGCAGTTGGGCCGGGGGGTTGCTGTCCACACGGCACAAGAGAAGTCCTTGACGTCTGGCCCCAACGCCTGCGGCATCAGGGTCCAGTTGGGCAGTGAATGTGGGCTGGCGTGGGGCATCTGTAGGGAGGAAGAGCATAGGCGTTCATCCCATGGCCTCCACCAGGGTCCTACAGGTCCACTCAAAGCTGGCTAGGCTCCCAGAACACACTAAACAAAGGCATAGAGTGCTTAGAGTTGCCATAAACAGTTGTGTAGGTTGTGCACTGCACAAGGACGACCAAACCAGGGTAGGAGGAATTCAGCCCATGCCCCTCCTACTAAGCTGTGCCCCAGTGCTCTAACTTTCCCAGAGGAAAGAAGGCCGTTTTGTAGCTTGGACAAGGGTGTCATTTGGGCTAGCATAATGTCATGTGCCTCTGTCACACTAAACGCCCCTCAGGCTAATATAGAGCATCCCCTCTTGCCAGGTCACAGTCCCTACGCTGAGAAGTTCTGTCTCTGTGGCTGTGGGAGCTTGTGAGGACACAGCCTATGAGTGTGTACACATATATGGAAGCATGGTGACCTAGGTCCCAGCCCAGGAGGTCAAAGCTTGGACGTGGCGCCCATGATGCATTTGAGGCTAGAGGCAGAGGGCTTACGAGGGGCTGGGGTTGGGGGATAGGAAGCAGGGAGGTAAGAAAGCCCCAGCCTTGTTCCCCACACTCCAGCCCTGGGTAGAGAGCGCTATGGTACCCAGGGCTGTGGCTGCCTTCCTGATCTAGACCCCAGAGCAAGGCAGCCGCAGGAGAGCCTGAGGGGCGGCTGGCGGGCTGACCCTCCCCACATCAGGCCGCGGCTGGTGGAGGGCTGCTCACAGAGCACGGTGAGGACGGCAGAGGAAGAGGGGCCGCTGGCGCTGTGGCCGCCCTTGGCCTGACAGTAGTAAGAGCCGGCGTCGGTGCTGGAGGCCGCAGAGAGATGAAAGCTGCTTCTGGGCCCCTCGAAAAGCAGGGCTCCGTTCCGGTACCAAGAGAAGCGGATGTCAGGCGTGGGGCTCAGGCCGCTCCTGCAGCTCAGTGTCACTCCTTGCCCTTCTACCACCTCTGCTGTGGGGCTGATGAGGAGCTGGGCCACTGGCAGAAGAGGGAGTAAGGGAGGATCAGATCCCCCGCACACCAGCAGCTCCGTGCCACCTGCTGCAGGAAGACCTCCAGGGTTCACCTCTCCCCACATAGCTATAGGTAGGTCTGGGCTTTATGGCATCTGCTCTATGAACCTCTTGGTAATCAGGAGGCTTTGTCCTTGAATGCCAATCCTGGCCTATGGGTAGTAGCTGGCTCCAGCATGGTTGAGAAGGATCGGGAGCCAGAGCCCGGACTTACATCAAGAACCAGCCTTGATCCATTAGCTCTGTCTGCCACGGCCTCAGAAGGAGGGAATGGCAGCGCATGGACCAAGATATGGAAGACCCTATTTTTCCATTTCCCCTCCTGTGTCTGACGCCTAGCAGAGAGTTTGTCCCCAACATTTGATAAATAAAAAAGAAGTGGCTATGAAGAACCCTTCAAGTTCAGAGCCAGAACGTGTACAGAAAGAATAATGTCACGTGCCCTGTTTCCCTTTTGCCTTGGCCTCAGGAACCTCCCAGGTTGGGATGACTGTATAGTCCAGGTCTTTGATGTGGTTTTATTATTATTATTATTATTATTATTATTATTATTATTTTTTTACCAACCAGCTTGGTCAGCCCCTCAGCTGAGCGCTCTGGACTCCTGGGAGGAAGAGACCAGAGCAGGCCTCCTCAGGCCCCTCCACCAGCCTCCCTGCGGCCATGTCACCTTTGGCATGGAAGTCCAGGCTGGAGGACGAATTCCCAAGGGAGTTGGTGGCAGAGCACGTGTATTTCCCGCTGTCACCTGGCTGCAGGTCTCGGATCTCCAGGTTCAGGGAGTTGGGGTTGGAGAAGACACTGAAGCGTGAGCTGTGGTCACCCTCCCCTGAGGTGGAGGCCAGGATGAGGCCATTGTGCGACAGCACCAGGGTGGCCAGGGGCTCGCTGACCACCGAGCAGTGGAAGATGCCCACCAGCCCCTCCTGCGTCTCCAGGAAGGCGGTGAGGTCCGGGACGAGGGGCGGGTCTGTGTGGAGACAGGGGGGTGAAGGTCATCCTCGGACAGGGGCTGACCGGCCAGACAGGGATGACCCCGCACCTCCTTTGTTTCACATTCCCTGTGCAGAGCTCCTGGGTGCCTGTTGAATACACTTTAGTCCCTGGGCCGAGCAAGTCACTTTGTCTTCTTGGCCAATAGTTGTGGCAGCCCTGTGAATGTGGATCAGGGGGCCCGCTTTAAAGGTGGGAAAACTGGGGGTGCTTGGGTGGCTCAGTTGGTTAAGCGACCAACTTCAGCTCAGGGCATGATCTCACGGCTTGTGAGTTTGAGCCCTGCATCGAACTCTGTGCTAACAGCTCAGAGCCTGGAACCTGCTTCAGATTCTGTGTCTCCCTCTCTCTTTGATCCTCCTCTGCTCACACTCTGTCTCTCTCTCTCACTCAAAAAAATAAATAGATAATTGTTTTTAAAAAAGGAAAATAAGGGGCGCCTGGGTGGCTTAGCCGGTTGAGCGTCCGACTTTCGCTTAGGTCATGATCTCGCGGTTCGTGGGTTCGAGCCCTGCGTCGGGCTCTGTGCTGACCGCCAGCTCAGAGCCTGGAGCCTGTTTCAGTCTGTGACTCCCTCTCTCTCTGACCCTCCCCTGCTCACGCTGTCTCCCTGTCTCTCTCCTAGAAATAAATAAAACATTTAAAAAATAAATAAATAAAATAAAAAAAGGAAAATAAGAGACTTAACAACTGAATGAAGTGCAAGATCCTGGCTTGGATCCTGGACCAGAAAAAAAATAATTGCCATAAAGGACATGATTGGGGCAATTGGTAAAATTCAAAATGGGCTGTAGATTAGATAAGAGTGCTCTATCAATACTATCAGTTGTATCAGTGTTAGATTGCTTGACTGTGATCAGTGGTTATGTACGAGAATGACCTTAGGAGATACACGCTGAGGAATTAAGGGGTAGAGGGACATCATCTACAATTTCAAGAATGTAAACATGTAAATATTCAAACTGGTGCAACCCCTCTGAAAAACAGTATGGAGTTTCCTCAAAAAATTAAAAACAGAACTACCCTAAGACCCTGAAGTTGCACTACTAGGCATTTATCCAAAGGATACAGAAGTGCTGTTTTGAAGGGGCACATGCACCCCAATGTTTATACCAGCGCTATTGACAAAGCCAACAGATGGAAAGAGCCCAAATGTCCATCGACTGACAAATAGATAAAAAAGATGTGGTGTGTGTGTGTGTGTGTGTGTGTATACACACAATGTATTACTCAGCCATCATAAAGAATGAAATCTTGCCATTTACAACAACATGAAAGGAACTAGCGTATTGTGCTAACTGAAATAAATCAGTCAGAGAAAGACAAATACATATGCCTTCACTCATATGTGGAATTTAAGATACAAAACAGATGAACATAAAGAAAGGGAAGCAAAACTAATATAAAAACAGGGAAGGAGACAAACCATAAGAAACTCTTAAATAGAGAGATCAAACTGAGGGTTGCCTGCGGCGTATTTGGTGGGGGCAATGGGCTAAATGAGCAAAGGGCATTAAGAAGGACACTTGTTTGATGAGCACTGGGTGTCATATGTAAGTGATGAATCACTAAAGTCATTATTACACTGTATGTTATTATACTATATGTTATTATACTATGTGTTATTATGATACTATGTGTTATTATTACACTATATGTTATTACACCATATGTTATTATTACACTATATGTTAACTAACTTGGATGTAAATTTTTTTTAATTAAAAAATATCAATTCTCAGCCTTTTGGCTAAGATCAAGTGTCATATCTGTTCTTATCCGTTTAATATCAGATGTGTTCTCTGAGGACAATATATTCAATGGATTTTTGGAGCAGGGAGATGGAATAGGAGCTTGCCCCATCCATTCCAGGCATCGACCTGGTATTGCAGCACTTCCAGAAATGGTGCACACACAAAAATAATAAATAAAAATTAAAAATAAATTTAAAAAAGAATGTAAACATGTGGCTAACAGATATGTGATAGGTAACTGGTGGATGTGTACACATATAGCATATGTACATATGGAATGCATATATATGTGCTTACATACAAAATGTGTGTACACTTGCACACGTATAGGTATATATGCACGTGTGTATACACATGTATCTGTATATGTGTGCATATGCACATGTATGTACACACACACACACATACATATATACATTTAAAGAGAGAGAGCAAACGTACCAAACTGCTAACAAATGGGGAATCTAGGGTAAAGGCATATGGTGATTCTTTGTATTCTCCGTGCAACTCTTTGTAAGCTTGTTTCAAAATGAAAAGTATTCTAGACAAGGAGGAAATTGAGGCCCAGAGAGGGCAAAGCTAGCCCAGTTATGCAGAGTTGGGACAGGAGCTCAAGGCCAACGAGGCTCAGGACCCTAGCCGTCCCGTGGGGGGCCCCACCCCTTGACCACCCTTTGGCCTGGCTCTGGCAGTGTTCGGTGCCACCCGGCCCTGCCACTTACGTTTGACCACCACGCTGACGGGGCCAGAGCGCTGGCTGCCGTAGGAATTGTGCATCTCGCAGAAGTAGAAGCCGGTGTCGGCCCTGGTGGTCGAGTGCAGCTGCAGGGCGCGGCTGTGGGCATCCTCCAGCAAGACGTGGTTCCTGTACCAGCTGTAGCGCAGCTTGCTGGGCGCTTCTCTGGGCGCGCTGCACGTCAGCGTCACTGTCTGGTTCTCTAGGATGGGGCCTGCTGGGCTCACCTGGACCTCAGCCACTGTGGGGATGGCATGGGGCATGTGGGGGGAGATCCAGCTGACTTCCGGGGCACCGGGGTTGTAGCCAACTACACCCCTGCATATTCCGTATCATGCCCCTCTGCGGCACAGCCTTCTGGATTGGCACTGCATCACTTTGTCCTATCTACGGGATGCTTGTCACATCCCACCCTGCCAGGGAGGTTGGTCATCTATCTGAGACAGGGCTAGGACTCCAGGCCTGCGTTCCAAGAGGCACCTTGGCCTGGCTTCCTTCAGCAACAGTGGCCTGCACCCCCCTACCTCCCACCCAGGCTCAGCCAAGACTCACTGAAGACGTGGAGGCTGACAGGGGGCGAGACCGTAGAGCCCACGCCATTCCCAGCTTGGCAGGTGTAGACACCGGCATCATCCCAGGCTACCTGGGGTAACTGCAGCACAGGACCCTGGACTTTGAGCTGCGTCCCGTCCTTGACCCACTGCATGGAACTGACCTCGGGGTTGCTGCTGTTGACCCGGCAGGTGAGTATGACCAGATCACCTGGAAGGATGTTCCGCCCTGAGGGGCTAAGAAGGATCTCCACGCCCTTGGGGGCATCTGCAAGTCATGATGGGGGGCATCAGGTGAGGAGCCCATGGAGGGCAATGGCCGCACTTCTCCAACCATACAAAACAATTGTGTTTCCAAAAATCTTGTTCCGAAGCCTCTCACTCTGTAAATATGCTAATAGAAGCTAATATTTTCAAGGGCTTAATGTAGGTAAATAGGCAAATAACAGAAGCTAATATTTTAGAGTGCTCAGTATGCGCCAAGTACACCTGCAAGTTCCATACCCGTTCTCTTCAGGGCAAAGTTTGCTCCTGTGCCTCATGGATCCAGGCAGCCTATGCCTGTGGACAGCAGTTGTTCTAGAACAGGCTGCCGTGTTTTACCATGCTGGGAAGATGCAGGATCAGGTAGAAACTCGGGTTTTTATTCACCACCTCTTTGAGGTGTCTGCACGATACCCCGATCACCATAAGTGTGAGTAGCCTTAGGCAGGAGAGGGGTGAATCCTCACACACACACATACACACACACACACACACGCACACACAAAGAGCATCCTCCAGAGCTGTGCTAAATCCCCGGGGCCTCGCTGCCTGACCCCCAATTCTCTGGCTCTTTGTGTCTCCCCTTCTCTGCCCAGCCTGGCCTCAGGAACAAGAGGTAGAAGGAAGCCATTAAATGTGGCTCAGAGGGCTTAGTGCTGTCTCTCCCCTTGCCTGACCCTGGAGGTCCAAGCGCGCCTGGCTTTGCCTCAGGGGCAAGGGCTCCGTTTCCCCAGGCTGGAGGAGGGAACGGGTTCTGCTGGGGAAGCCACAGATACGTGCTCAGTACCAAGGGAGTGGTGCCCAGAACACTCACACTGCACTTGGAGGTGAATCTTGGCCTGAGTCTTGTGTTTGGCTACCGAGAGTTGGCAGTGCAGGGTCCGGCCATGGTCCTGCCAGGACAAGGGCATACGGAGGGTCCCCAAGTGGCTGATGCCCGTGGGCTCGAGCTTCTGGTGGCTGGAAGTGATGGAGCGTGCGGGGTCCTGGCCTAGCCACTGCAGGCTGATCTGCTCCTCTGTGCACGCATAGGGAGTGGAGCAGTTGAAGATGGCCTCCATGCCCTCGTGAAGCTCAGCCGGCCCAGTAATCGTGGGCTCCTCGGGCTTCTCTGAGGACAAAGACCAGAGGCTCAGGACTCCCCTCCACCACACATGAGGCCTACGACCTTGGAAAGCCCAGCTGAGGGGCAAGGTCTGGGCAGGGTCCTTTAGAGGAAGGAGGGGCTGCTTTCTATCCCCAGCCCCGGTGAAGGGGAATGCAAGGGGGAGGCAGGGCTGGGGCTAGCCCGGGGCTGGGGTTGGGCTCAGGATTGGCGCTGAGAGCCAATGGGGCCAGGAGGAGCTTGGGAGACCCTTCTGGACAGTAGCCGGGCCACGCTGCCCCTCACCTGTCACGGTGACCCCAGTGCCTTTGACATCTGACCAGCGGTTGCCGTCACTGATCTCAAAACGGAAGTTGTAGGAGCCCGAATCCTCAGGCTGCAGGTCCTTCAGCATCAGGCTGCACACCTTGTGCTCAGGGCTCCCCAAGAGCTGGGCACGGCCACGGAAGTGCGCCTCCACCTGCTTGGGGTTCTCCGAGTGGCTCACCACCTGCCTCTTGCCCGAGTAGTCATAGTACCAGATGGCTGTGATGCCACGGGGCACTTGCACGTCAGCTGGGAAGTTGAAGACACAGGGGATGACGAGGCAGGACCCCTTCACGCCCTTCACATCCTGGGGACTGGAGACACCCCATGAGGCCAGGCCTGGAGGGTGAGGTAGGACAGAGAGGAGAGTGATGAAGGCCTGGGGCGACTGCAGAGCCCTCAGATCTGCCCCAGATGAGTCTGCAAACCCTGCCCTGCCCCCAGCAAAGCACCCTTGGGGCTGCCCCTCTGGGAGGCTCCCCCCAGCCACTGTCTCCCTGAGCCCTCCTTCAACCTCAGCAGACAAACCAGTGGCCAGCACAGTCCAGTCCCCCTGGGCAACGGAGGGCCGGACTCACCAAGGCCGGGCCCTGTGAGATGGGGAAGGCCAGCAAAGCCTACCTGCCGAGATAGATGAGGTCAACTGGAGAAGCTGGATCAGGTAGTCCATGGCAGGTCTTACGCTGGTTCTGGCGCCTAAGAGGGTGATGCACACTGTGCTGGCGGGGCACACGGGGGCCTTCTAGGGAAACTCAGAGGGCGCCTAAGCCTCAGGGCCCGCTGAGAGTCCAGCCTCGTACCCCCACATGCTCTGCTGGCCAAGCCAGTGAGAGCACAGGGCTGGCAAGGACTTCCGGGCAGCAGCAGGGAGCCAGGAGCCCACGTTCACAACTCGGGCTGCACCAGGGAATGCCTCCACTCGGTGGCATGCCCCAGAAAGCCCTCTGCGGGTCCCTCAGCCCCACCCCAAGTTCTGCTTTCCCAGCCCCTCAAGGACACTCCTCCAGAGCAGATGAACAGCTGTTTCTCCCTTTCCCCCCACTTCCCCGCCTCTTCCCCACCACCCAGCCCAACGGGAACTGGAGTCCAGAGAGGATGGAATGCAGTGAAAGCGATGGCTTGAAATTTGTCTTCTAACCACCAGCCTTACCAGCCGTAGGCCATAGTGGGGCTTGACTGAAGACTTAACAAAATGCTGCCTTGAAGAGTTACTTCCATCCCCGAAAGGTCCTCGTTCCTACTCCCCATTCTGCTCCCACTCCCAGCTCCCCACACACGCACCCTGTGGCCAGTCCCATATACCCATGGGCTCTCCAGCTGACCAGCTCTGCCCCCACCACAAATGATCTTTGCCTGTTGAAAGCTTATTCAGTCTTCAGGGTGCGGCTTGAAGGTGGTTTCTAGCTGAAACTTGCCCTTTGGGGTCCCTGTAGCCAGCCCACAGCCACCTCTGTGCTTGCCTTGTCCTTGGCAGCTTGTGACCACCCACTTCTCAGGAGCTGGGGCCGAGGACATGTGCCCTGAAGCAGTGCAGAGCCCCTCTGGCCCTGCAGTGGTGAGCAAGAGAGAGGCGTGGTCCTTGGGGGTCTAGAGTCAGTGGCTGGGCAAGTCTGGGCATGGGACCCAAGAGCCCTGCCCAACACATATCCCACAAACATGAGTTAAAGCATGCTGTATACCATGCAGAAGATGGTGGACTCTGCCACTGAGTGCCCCTGCTAGACATGAGTCTCTAAAGAGTGCCACAGAGGGGCGCCTGGGTGGCTCAGTCACTTAAGTGTCTGACTTCAGCTCAGCTCATGATCTCACGGTTCATGGGTTTGAGTCCGGCTTCGGGCTGTGTGCTGACAGCTCAGAGCCTGGAGCTGCTTCCATTTCTAGGTCTCCCTCTCTCTGCCCCTCCCCCCCCACACACTGTCTCTCTCTCCTTCTCAAAAAATGAACAAATATTTAAAAAAGAGTGCCACAGATGTGAATCTGAGGTGGAGAAATGCCAGAAACACTTATAACTAAGACTGTAAAAGTGTTAGAAGAAAACATGGGTGAAAATCTCCATGACCCAGGATCAGGCAAGGATTTCTCAAGTGTGGCGACAAAAGGAAAAAAATAGATAAACTGGACTTGGTCAAATTTTAAAACTTTTGTGCACATCAAAGGACACTATGAAGAGAGTGAAAAGACAGCACATAGAATGGGAGAAA